GAGCGCTCTTACTAATCCAAGTACCGAATCAACACTTAAGAGAATTATTTATCTACTTCTTTCTCAAGAAGGAATGGATTCCATCTCGTATAATAACATTCCCAGCTACCTATTTCATTATGTCTCCAAAATACAAGGAATAGGATTCAGGGTCTCAGAATCCGTACCGAGTAAATCAAAAGACATAAATCCATAAATAGGAGTTTGTTAAGAACTCAGGATTAAGATCATCCTATATATGACCATCGGTAGACTCAATCAGAATTTCTATGCTTAACGAAAATTATTAGAAATTCATATTGTGTCTGTGTCCTTGTTCCACATAATCTTATTATACGAAATACACTCATTCAATATCTCTCCATATTAACAGTGCGGAAACACCGTTCCATTCTAAATGGGAATGACATGTATTAACAATGTTTTAATTAAAGATTCTGAACTTTAATTAAATTCATCATGAACAATGTTTTTGATTATTATCCATAAATACTATCCTCTCGTATATAACACTTATATACTATGTTTAAGGTTACATAAATAATCACGGAATTTTCATTTGATATTCATAAATATATGCACATAAAATGATGAATAAACTCTTTTATTAATTAAATAATAAATATCCTATTACATCTCATGCTTCTAGGACACTATTCCCAACATTAGTGTCTCGTCCCCATAGGATATCCATAATCGACTTCAGGTCAAGTTCCGTTTTACCTTTCTGATTACATTTATCTTATGTTCCATTGTCACACCATCAGAAAACCACTGTTCATACCATTACAAATAGTAAACCATTAGATAACACAAAGTAGTGTAATAACCGAGTGCTCGTATTTTCCAATCCACAGATAATGCATAAGAGGATATAATTGACTATTTGTAGGAGTTATAGATTCCAATATCTATGAATAACGAATCGATGCATACACGAGTCATACCCCCAATGTACCGGTAAGCGTACCTTTACATAATGTCAGGATGTCTCCCTTTGGTACATCAAAAGATACAAGTCAAGCATACGGGTTCCTTATCCATCTCAGGATTAAGATGACAACATATAATTCGACAAAAGTGAATTATTTTATTCAAACAGAATTATTAATTAAAACAATTCAACTTTGGTCCGACCCAATATAGATTTCACCATTATAAACTATATCAATGTCTCTACCCATGAGGTCCCACCTCCGACAACCAAGACAAGCCATCTCCGTTAGGAAGTAGACAACATAATAATCTTAACATGAATAAAGCGTCCAACTTTATTCCCTCGATTGTGGATTGTATGATTTAGACTATCATTTTTAGATTCTTGTCTTAAGCATGTTCTACACATTAAATGCATGACCTAAAGATTTAGAATGACAGTCTCAGACTTTCAGTTTGCTTATTATACATTCAACTAATATGAACATAAAGAGGACGATACATAAATATATGAAATAAATAAATCTTTATTAATAGACAAAATGTCTCATAGAATATCGTTACATTTATTCCTAATGACATAAATGCTAACAATCTCCCACTTGCACTTAAGTTAGTAAGTGTGACATGCTACACATCCCCATAGCCTCAACATGCTTCTCGAAGGCCTTAGCCGGCAGGGCCTTCGTGAATGGGTCAGCCATATTGTCCCCCGACGCGATCTTGCATATTTCCACATGCCCTTCTTCAAAAAATCTCCTTATCACATGATACTTCTTGTCGATGTGCTTACTCATTTTTTGATATCTTGGTTCTTTGGTGTTAGCTATTGCCGTACTGTTATCACAGTACAGTTTCAATGGCTTATCCACACCATGAACTACTTCAAGATCCATCAGAAATTTACGGAGCCACA